TCTAATTTTTTGTAGCTCTATTTTATATCCTAAATAATTAATAGAATCTCCTCTTTGTATCTTTTCAGGAGCAATTTGTAATCCCCAGCAAGGCAATTTTTTCTTTACTTCTTCAAACATTCTTTCTAAAGTATCTGTATTTGAGTCAGCTAGTAAAATATCATTCATATAACGATAAATTATAGGTTTAGGAAATTTTTTATGTATCACTTCCAATGGCTGTTGTACAAAATATTGGCACAAAGTTGGGCTATTCAACATTCCCTGTGGGAGGACTCTCCATTGAAATCTTTTAACTGGTTGAGAATTATTGTAAGTAGGCACCGTGAAGGCAAATCTTTCTTTGTCTTTTTCTTATAAGGGTATTGAAAGGAAACAGTTTTTAAATCAATAATGATGAGAGGCCATCTTTTGGTAACAGAGTAGGCAAAGGAATTCCAGATTGTAGAAAGCTCATTGGCTAAATTACTTTGTTAATTGCTCTAAGGTCTGTTACCATTCTCCATTAACCAGATTTCTTTTAAATAACAAATACAGGATAATTCCAAGGGTTACATCTACATCTGGTGCCCAACGTTCATGGTATGAATTCATGAAAAAGCTGTTTGCACGTGACCTTTGGGGCCCTAGCTCCAGACCTGAGCTACCCTCAGCCAGTTGTGGTGAAGCACACTGGTTGCATTTGCTGAAAGAGACAGAGGCAGGAGGATCCTGCATTTGAGGGCAGCCTAGGAGGCTTGCTAAGGAGAAGCTTCAGCCAGGGCCCAGGCAGAAACGGTGGCAGCAGGACCATGGAGGCAGTGGCTACTGCTCTAAATTGCTGGCTCCTTCTCATCATGTTGGTGACCGTGGTGATGTTGCTACCTGGGTTGAAGAGTTTACTACTACTTGTTCAGAGAAAAATTGCCAGGACCACCGTGTTACAAAAAGCATCAGCAAAGGTCATTTTGAAAAACTTTGGCAAGACAAATGGTGGGGAGAAATTGCTGTGAAGATATTCTCTTCTAGGGAAGAATACTCATGGTTCCAAGAGACAGACATTTATCAGACTGTGATTGCTCCAAACCACAAAAAAAAATGAAAGAAAGAAAAAAAAACACTCCACAGGGAACCATGACTATGCCTAACAGTGACTTTGAAATCTTCAAAAACGTGACAGGATCCCACAATGATGATTCCACATGGACTATGGTAAAGCCACTAAACTGATTAACACCACAGAAAGATTGACTCTGGACTACAAACTATTCAGTACAATTTTGAGTTGACTAGCTGAGATGATCCATCCTGACAGACTACTTGAACAAGGACTTGAAACAAGCCGTGCACTTTCTCATTATGCAGTGACTGGACAAATGATACAGAACTTGACAATTAACCCAAAAAAAATTCTTTTTAGGATTCCCTAAAGATGTCTTCACCCCCAGAAAGCAGGAAGTAATTTTAAGAAAACAACGTCCACATTCCCAAGAGGTGGGATGGGAGGTTTTTGGTCGTTTAATGAGTTATGGATATTGTCATTGTTTACAATGGTTGGTTACAAGTTGTTAATTGTTAATGGTCAGGAAAAAAACTGAACAAGGAGATTAGATTCAGAGTTTTTGTTTGAAAGAAAAAGAAAGAAGAGAATATAGATATGAGGTAGATCATTGACTCTACACCGAGAAAAAGAAAAAGAATAATAGGATAAATGAGTAGATCATCGAATCTACTCTAAAAAGAAAAAGGGAAAGATATAAAAATGACAAAAGGTAGATTGCTGAATCTATTATGAAAAGAAAAATACTTTTAAAAAGGAACTACTTATAACTAATGAAATTGTTTTTGTCTGAGTTTATCAAATGTTACTGGACTGGACATTGTTAATATATATATAATGGAGTTTTTATCTGAATCTGTCAAATGTTAATGGACTAGACATTGTTGATGCAATTCTTGACTGTATATATGGTATATACTTATTGGATATAGTTTTTCTTGTATTAGTTATAAGATTTTTTTTAAATTTAGACAAAAAAGAGAAAATGTGGTGGTATTGTGTTCCCCCAAATATTGTGCACCCTAATAAATTTATCTGGGGTCAGAGACAGAAGAGCCACAATATTAAACATAAAGGATAGGCAGTGGTAGCATATGCCTTTAATCCTAGCATTCTAGAGGCAGAAATCCATCTGTTCAAGGATACAGCCAAGCATGGTGACTCATGCTTTTGATCCCAGAAAGCGAGCCTTTAATACCAGAGAATCATGGTAGAAAGGAAAGATATATAAGGTATGAAGACCAGAAACTAGAAGCATTTTGCTGGTTAAGCTTTTAGGCTTTGAGCAGCACAGTTTAGCTGAGATTCATTATGGATGAGGACTCAGAAGCATCCAGTCTGAGGAAACAAGATCAGCTAAGGAACTGGCAAGGTGAGGTAGATATGGCTTGTTCTGCTTCTCTGATCTTCCAGCATTCACCCCAATACCTTGCCCTGAGGTTTTTTTTTTTTTAAATTAATAAGACTGTTTAATATTCCTGCTACACAGTGTCAGGGCAGGAAGAATAGTAATATACAGGAAGACATGGACATGGACAAATAGCTGAGAATTCTATATACAGATCTGTAGGTAACAAGAAGAAGAGCAATCCACTTGTCCTGATTTGGGCTTTTGGAAACCTCAAAACCCAATTTCAGTGACAGTTCTCCCACAAGGCCACATTTCCTAATTCTTTCAAACAGTGCCTGTTATTGTTTCTGTTCTTTGTGGGGCCCACTAACAAGCTCACAAACAAATCACACACCAAGGCCTGTTCTTAATTATGAATGCTTGGCCTTAGCTTGGCTTATTTCTAGACAGCTTTCCTTAATTTAAATGAACCCATCTGTCTTTTGCCCCTGGGCTTTTCCCATTCTCTTACTTTTGTAAATCTTACTCTTACTCTGTGGCTTATTGTGTAGGTGGGTGGCTGGGTGGCTGGGTTGCTGGAGTCCTCCTTCTTTCTGGCTATCACTTTTTTGTAGCTGGAGTTTTCTCCAGTCCTGCCTGGTCCATAGTCAGGACAAATCTCTCTCACCTGCCAGTCCCACAGCCACTTTGACCCAACCAACTAAACACATAGAGACTTACATTGTTAAAACTGTTGGGCCTAATGGCTCAGGCTTCTAGCTATCCAGTTCTTACATCAAATTAATCCATTTCAATAAATCTATACCTTGCCACGTGGCTTGTGACTTACCAGCATCTTCACATGCTGCTTGTCATGGTGGCAGCTGGCAGTGTCTCCTCCCACCTTCCTGTTCTCTCAATTCTCCTCACTGTTAGTCCTGCCTATACTTCCTGCCTGGCCATTGGCCAATCAGTGTTTTATTTATTGACAAAGCAGAGCATTTGACATACAGACCATCCCTCAGCACTTCTTACTCCTTCCTTCTCCCAGATTTCTCATTCTATTTATTGTCTCTGCTTGAC